CTGAAACTTTACCTTACCCCAGTAATAATAATACACTTTAAAAGTTGTGGGAACTTTTTTTTTCCCCGAGTCAGGGTTTCTCTGTGTAACAGTCCTGGCTGTCCTGGAACCAGGCTGGCCTCAAACTCACTGAAATCCACCTGCCTCTGCCTCCCAAGTGCTGGAATTAAAGGAGTGTGCCACCACCACCGGTCTAAATTGTGGAAAATTTAAGTTTTCGAAGAATTTCTGTTTTGGGGGTTGGATGTGAATCTGAGTCAGGGTCTCACTAGATAGCTCTAGTTGTCCTGGAACTCATTATGTAGACCAGGCTGACCTCGAACTTAGAGATCCGCCTGCCTCTGCCTCCCTGGAGCTGGGACTAAAACCGTGTGCCACCACCATCCAGCTTTAAATCCTAAAATTTCTAAGCAGCTTTTTTTTTTTTAATTTGAAGATTTGTGTGAATGTATTTGTGTGAAGATATGTGCACATATGTGAGCATCTCCCCTTGGAGGTTAGAAGAGGGTGTTTGATCTTTTGGAGCTGTAGCTTCAGAAGTTTGTGAGACACCTGACATGGATTCTGAGAGCAAACTCTGGTCCTCCCGAGTGAGCAGCAATGGATTTGACTGGCTGAGCCATCTCTCTAGCCCCTAAGCAGCTCTATTTTCTGTTTTTCTGACCTGGGTAGATATTTCCAGGCCAACCAATGGATATTTGCATTGTATCTCTGCTAGAGTTAAGCTTAAAAATATGATCATAAGGCTTATTCTTAGAAGAATTTCGTATTTCTGAGCTCAGCCAACTCCTTTGTGTTCTCATTGGTAAAACATGAACTCGCCTTGGACTTTTCTCCAGTTCTAGTTCTAATAATCTGTTTAAGCCAGGTCAGTTGGCTTTATCTGTAATCACAGCACTGAAGAGGCAGTGGCAGGTTCAAGCAGCCTGGGCAGTCTATTGAGATGATCTCAATTAAAATCCCCAAGCTAATGTCCCCTCCTGGTTTCTTGCTTTGCTTTTGTCAGTTCTCTAATGTAAAGGAAAGATGGACTCCATGAAGGACCGTATATACAACGAAGATCCATCATTTTTTCAGATGAAGTGTGTCTGTCTACTGGATTTCTGCATTGTTTCCCCTCATTCCTGGGTTCCTTATCACTGTTATCCTTGTATATTAGGATAGTTTCTTGTTTGTTCGACTTTTGGTAACTGGAGTACTTGGGATTTGCCCTTGGATGTGGTGGTGATGATGATGATGATGCTAACACTCTTCACAGTCCTCAGGCTCTCTCTCTAGTAATGGAGTAGGACTCTATTTTCAACTCCTCTGATGTTAGATTCGGCCATGTGAGTTCACTGGCCAATAAAATGTGAATGCACATTGTTTCTGGTAGAAGACATGTCTTAATTTTTAACAGCCAGAGCAAGACATTGAATATCTAGCAATTACATTTTATGATCGCTACTCTGGCAATCTTGAAAGCCTATGTCTTAGTGAAGCATCCAGTAATTCAGGGGCCTCAGTGACTGCAATCAGTAGAGTTCCTGAAAAGTATGCTGAGTTCTGTAGATCTACATGACACCTTTCTCTAAACATTGGAAGCCCTGGTAATGGAAGTTCTCAGGTGTCCTTGAGGGTTTCTCTGTATTGCTTTGGAGGTTGTCCTGGAACTTGCTGTGTAGACCAGGCTGGCCTTGAGCTCACAGAGATCCGACTGCCTCTGCCCTCTGGAGTGTGCCACCAATACCTGGCAGGCACTGTTCTTGAGGGATCTTGACTAAGCGCACCTTTTATCCATCCGTGCAGTCTCTATAAAACAAAATGGTTGACAGAGACTTTGTATCCTGCCACGTTAACACTCCAATTCCAGAGCACCTGCAGATTGACTGAAGTTTTGCAACTATGTTACAGCTCAGTAGGCCCCACACTCTCTAGCTAGTCCTGCCTTCCTTGGTTCCATAGAGATGTTGTTGCAAACAAACCCCACTCACGATAAGTCCACTAAATGCTTCTACCAAATACAAAACAGGGTAAATACATTTCTCTCTCAATAAGCTAACACGATCTGTGGGATGTTATTATAACCTAGCCCATCCTGATCACTAGATACCAAACCTTCCTGCCCTATCGGTTCTGTTTTTTTTATCAGCTAGACTTTCGTTGCCTGTCTTTTGTAGTAGATTAAGTCATTGCTAAGTTTTAACTCTTCTAGATGTTCCTTCTCACTGTGAATAGTTACATCTGGACTCAGATATTGACGGTAAGGGCAACAGAAAATGAACAAGGGCTGCATATGGAGGTCTACTGATTATTTCTGCTGTTAATCGTATGAGCTTTTTCCACATGAACTTCCTAAGACTTGTTTCCTACATAATTTATTACACATTTATAACATGTACAAGGGCACTTAATGTTTCTTAGGAAAATTTTATGCAAATAATAATTGAATAATAAAGTACTTGACCTCAATTCAAGGAAGAAAAATTGTATTTCACCAGCTAATAAACTTCCTGCACCTTTAACATCTGTCATTTCTCTGAGAAGTAGATTTCATGTTTTGAAAGCTAAATGTTAAAACAATGCCAGTTCCTTATGTTAGGCCTTTTAGGCAAAAGAAAATATGGTAGTAAAGCTAAAGAGTCAATGTATATGCTCCTTATTTTTTCAAAAAGGGATTTTATTACATGGAAAATAATTCTCTCTGCCTGAAGGATAAACAGTATAAAAATATTTTAGCTAAAAAAAGAGCCCTGGGCAGGTATTACCACAACTCATAATTACAGCAGATATTTACTATGATAACAGAAACCAGTTTAAGGAATGTGATTTATTAACATCACGTTCAGATAAAAAGATAAAAGACTTGAATAAGCAAGCGAACAGTAAGGCTCGAGGAGTGTATTTATGAATGTATCCTGCACAGCCTTTAGCCACAATGAAAGACCGGCAAAACCAGCCTTCAGAACAGCCTTTCTGCCTACCGGGAGAAGGGAGGGCTAGACTCCATCTCTTAAGATCGCCCTCCCATGCAATTTTTCCACCTCGCAGTTAAAGAATTAAACCCAGACTTCCGATCATGGCGCCAAGCACGTCACCTTCTCCCCTCTCCCCTAGCAAAATCCCACCCAAGTCGGCTGACCCCCGCAGGGGATAGTCATAGTCCCCTCCCCTATCCTGGCTGCCTGAGTACAACCAAAATGAGATAAAAAAAAAAAAAAAGGAAAAAAGGTTTAAGGCGGTCATAGGAAAGAAACTGCGGTGCGGGCGAAACCTTCACTGGGTGAGTGAGGAGGCAGGATCCCACTCCATACCTGAGGGCAACCACCCTGTGCCCGCCCCCCCGCCGCGGTTTTCCTTACACAGGCCCTGCAGAGCCCCTCCAGCCTTTGTGAATACAGCCCTCCCTGGGAGAGGTGCGGGCGGCTGTGCGGGCTCACGCTCGCACAGCAGGCCGGCGGGTGCGATTTTAAGTTTCCTCGCTGGCTTCCCATCCTCGCCATCGCTCAGCAGCAGCCTTGTCACCTAAGAAGGCCGTGGAGCCAGCTGCTCGAGCGAGCGAAGGCCGACCCCGACTAGCGCGCACACGTCAGGTTTGCGGTCTTCACCACTGAGGCTTTTGTTTGCGAGGGGAGGGGAAACCGACGCGGCCTCGAGTCTCGGCTCCCGGGAAAGGCGGCTCGGCCCGGCCCGACCCCCCCCCGCCCGGGGCTCCCCGCGCGCCCGGG